AAAATATGATAGGAAAGTCAACAAGTGAAGACCGAGGGAACAAAGAACAGCCGAAGAAAGGAGGTGAAGATAGCGGCGTACAGGCAAAATTTTCAATGAAAGGTAATGGACCATCTATAGTTTTAACGATTAACAGAATATTGCCAAATGAAGGCCTGGGCAAATCAGCACCGCCGTCAGCAGGCGAAAAGAATGGGAAGAAATCTGAACCTAACAAGCCTGAGTCAGAACCAGCGAAGTCTCCGTCATCCGCAGCAATATCGAAGAATGCAGCAGGCATGCCTGTTCCGGGAGGGAGATTGGCGATGCGAAAGCCAGCCGGGCCAGGGGCAAGAGTTCAGAAGCCAAACAATCCCTCAAGAACGCCAGGAAAAGGAATGAAGTCGCTGCCAAGGGGAATGCAGGCAAGGGCTACAAATACACGGCCAGCAGCACCTCCGGGAGCACAAGGAAGCATTAAAAACATGAAAAAGATACCGGGACTGCCGGGCCACCTAAAAGGAGCCAAGATGCCAATGACAAAAGGGATGCAGGCAAAATCTGCAGGCTTAGCAGCACCTCCGGGGGCACTAGGAAACAATAAGAAGATGCTAACGATGAGGGACTACAGAAGAGGGGGCTTGAAGCCAATGTCAAAGGAAATGCAGGGTTTGCCGAGTCTTGGACGCGGAAAGATGGGACCAATGCTATCGGGAAATCAGGCAGCGCCTACGAAACCTGATTCATTATCGGGAGCTCCAGGAAAGTTAATGAACGCACCAGCAGGGCTGAATTCGAAACTTAGGAATGCGAAACCAGCACTGAATGGAAGAGGAGCGAAAATGCCTGGGCCCCTGGCAGTACTATCTAATCGACGACAAACACTGAACAGTCCGAACATGCCAGGGAAAGCAAACAAGGGGATTCGGCCAACTGGCCCAGGAAGAAATCGTGGGAAACAAATGCTCTCTAAGGGCCATATCAACAGATCGTTGCTAGATCCCACGAAGCGCAATCTCGCTGCAAAACGAAGGCCATTATCAATG